CACTCGCCAGACACCCGGCGGGGCCCAGCGGGACCCTCCCCCAACTCGGAGGGGGGAGGCGCAGGCCGCAGTAGGCAACAAGCGGCACACGGCCCCACCGCGGGGCCGGCGCACCCATCAGCCCGCTTCCCACGGAGGGGAGGGGAGCTTTCTGCCCACGTGCTCTGGCAGTCGCCGCGGTGGCCACTGCGCGCTCGGGAGGGGCAGCGGCTGGGGCTCCCTCTCGGATCGCTAGAGAAGGCTTTCTCACCGAGGGCGCGCCGTCTCTCCTTCGGGCAACACGGAGGCACACCGGGAGCCGCCAGTCCTCAACTGGGCGGGAGGGGTCTGCGGTACCGGTAAGCGGACGACCACGCACAGGAGCGCGTGCGCGGCCAGGGCCGGGGCAGAGCCCGCGCCCGCCCCCTGCAAGGCCTCATCGGGCAGCCTCCGCGACGAGGGGAGCACACAATGCTCTCACCGCCTCGACCCGCTCCCACCCAGAGAGAGCCGCTCATGGGACACACGCACAGCGCCGTGGCGGGGACCCGAGGAGGACACGGGGTTAAGGGAAAACGGCACCACCGCTCGGCCTCGAGCACCTGAGGGACGCCCTGGAGCACGCCAGGGCCACCGCCCAGGGTCCATCGAGGCACGCTCACACACCCGTGCGGGGGCGTGTGGCGTGGCAGCGGCACAGCCCTCCCCACCACGGGGAGGGCCGCTCGCGGGGCAACACGCCAGGAAGGCGAGCAGGCGCATCTGCTGTGTCCGAAGACCAACGGCCCCACCAGACACCCCAAGGCGGGGGACGGGAGACCGAAGGTCAGGGCCGGAGGCCCCACCCCAACACCCCCCAAGGGGCAAGGGGGAAAGACAGGCGAGGGGCCCCGCGGACAGACCGAGAAGAGCGGACCCGTTCACTGGGAACGCCCGTCCCTCGTCCGGCACGGCTTAGGCCCGGCCCGGGAGAGCACCACCACACCACATCGATCAGTTGAAGAACCCTGGATACTCTTATACACGTGTGTGGGCGTGCGCACGTCTCTGTGCACACGTGTGGGTGTGTTTGTGCGTGCAAGTGTGTCTGTGTAACTTTCCAAAGCTCATCTCGGCCACGCGTTCCTCTCTGTTGCACCTCACTGTCTCTCTGCCATCTCTGAGTATTGCTTCCCGTGTGAAAACTGTCAGCATCTAAGGACGTGCACCTCTGGAAATGCCTTCTTTCACACTCATTCTCTTTTGATCAAGTTACTTGAGAACACTTCCTATTTTGAATCAAGCAGGTGACTCAAGTACAAGGAGAGGAAAACACTTGTCAAGGTTAAGGGATCCAGGCCCCCAGGGCCCTCCTCTCTCAGGACCTGGCGGCTGTGAGGCTGAGGCACGGCCCACAGCGGGAGGCGGTACAGAACCTCCTGGAAGCTGGCGATGTGTTCTGCATGAAGCTCTGGCTTCCGCCCCTTGCAAGAACGCCTTTTCAGGGTCTCAGTCCGATCCGCCTTCATTTTTTTTTTTTCAGCTGAAATTTAGTTAGAATAAACTGTTTCAAATTGTACATTTCAGTAGGAAATACTTTTTAAATTTGACCTTCATTTTATCTATATGAAAGGTCAAGATACAGATGTTACTTTTGAATAGCCCACCTGTTGACAGCTGCGGCACACAGGCTCTCGGTTGCAGGGTGCGGGGTCTTTGGCCAAAGTGTGCCGCGTCTGGATCCCTGAGCCCTGATCGAACCCTAACCCTCAGTAAGGAGCGCCGAGTCTCAGTCACGGGCCCAGCAGGGCCGCCCTCGGGTGTCACGTGTACATCCATGTGCCCCAGCCCTCCCCAGGTCGGTTCTCCTCAGGAAAGGAGGCTCCGCTATTCATTTCTTCAGCCACTGCTGTCTGTCGTGAGCTTCTTCGCTTCTGACACTTAAGACAGACACCACACTGGCCCTCAGCACAGTCCCGCCTCTACTGAATTGCCTTTCTGCGCTCTCTGCTGCATTCCGGAACATTCCCTCAGTGCTATACTCCGACTTCACATGTGGCCGCTCAGCTGTCTGCTTGACTGCCTGACTTTTTTTAAAATGTTGAATCTACTGGATTGTTCACGTCAAAACTGTTCGACTCTTTTCAGTAACTGCCTGTTCTTCTACGAAATAATCCACATGCTTGCCTCCCTTTATGTTTCTGTGAGGATGGGTCCCTCTCTGTGTCCACACGGGTGGACCTCCCTCTGACCCCGAGATGATCCCCGCTGCCGGGGCCACACCGCCTACCTCTCCCCGCTTCGCTGTGGTTCCCTCTCCATTTGGGGAACTTCTCTTCTGCACTTGTCTGTGGTTTCGTGTTGCAGAAACACTCTCCGGAGCAGGTCTCAGCGTCAGGAGCAGAGGAGGCTCTGGGTGGGCACCACACTCGCCCCCTTGGGTGCAGTCTGAGCCAGGAGCCCATCACGTCCACCCTCTCCTGTCACCTCGTCTGGAAATTAACCGTGATGACGGCAGCAAGAGCCCACAGCCCCTCTGAGGGCTGGGGTTCGGATAACATGCAGAGGAGGAAGCTCAGGCGCAGAGAAAGGGCACCGTCGCTCAAGGTCCCATGAGCAGCGGGCACACGTTTATAGGAACATCTGTTCCCACCAGAGTGAGAGCTCTGACCCCAATCAACACCCCCGAAAGCCTGCAGGTGATGGCAAGACCGGAGGAGCCTGTGCCCAAGGACCCCGGGGCCCCGAGGAGGCAGGAAGCCCCCGGGGGCTTGTTCCCAGCAAGGCGGGCTGGACAGTGATGGGGTAAAGAGAGACGCCCCTGAAGGGGGCTGTGATGGGGGGCTCCCCACTCCAGGGCAGGGGAGGAGTCAGTTTCCATCCTGATTCCCTGCGCATCTCCTCTGGGCTCTCGGCCACGCGGACTCAACTGAGCCCCAGGGAGACGCTGAACGTGCGTCCCTCATAAAGGACAGACTTGTGGACACACCGGGGAAGGAGAGGGTGTGAGGAATAGAGTAGCATGGAAACACACACAGAGCACGTGTGAAACACACCGCCGGGGGACGTGCCGTGTGACTCAGGAGCCCACACAGGCTTCTGTGACAGCCTAGGGGGGGTTCAAGAGGGAGGGCCACGCGACACATATGGCCCATCCATGTTGATGTGTGGCAGAACGAGCACCATACTGTGAAGGAACCATCCTCCAATTAAAAAACGATGTGTCTCTGGGGATCTCAGCCCCAAGGGCAGCAGGAGCCGGCATCCTCCCCGAAGCATCTCCAGGGCCTGGTGACCCGGCCACAGTGAGGAACCCCAGGGACCTGCTGATGGAGGGGCAGAGGAGGAAGCAGACCCCGAGGCGAGGCTTGCAGAGGGAAGGAGCCTGGCCGTCCTCATCTGGAAGGGGCGTCTCAGGAACACACTGGGACTGTCATGGGGACGACACCAGGCTTTCAAGAAGAGGCTGTTCCCCTTCCTGCGGGGAGGCTGATATGACAACCACGTGACAGGAAGCCCCAGCCTTGGAGAGGACACACCCTGTGCTCTGTCTCTCTGGAGGACACCCAGGTCTCCTCCATCCTCACGGCCTGGACCGCAGGGAGGAGACGCCATGGCCCCCACCCTCCCCGCCCTGCTCTGCCTCGGTGAGATGAGGAGGGGCAGGGGGAGCCCTGGACTGGAGGGACCCCCCACCCAGCCAGCCTGCTCCATCAGGGGACCCCAGGGCCCAGGAGGCTCCCGGGGACGAGAGGAGCTGCTCAGAGCTGAGGGCAGACCTCTCACAGGGCTCTCTCTTCCAGGGCTGAGTGTGGGCCTGAGGACCCAGGTGCAGGCTGGTGAGTCTGTCCCCAGGGCCCAGCTCTCTCCTCTCTTGGGGACAAGGGTCACCCCGAGGCCCTGAGGAGGGGAGGGCAGCTCAGGGCTCATAGAGGGGGAGTCTGGGAGGTCTGGGCTGAGAGCCAGGGCCTGGGGGCAGACCCCTGGTGAGCCCGCCTCTGATTTCCTTCCAGGGGCTCCCCCCAAACCCACCATCTGGGCTGAGCCGGGCTCTGTGGTCCCCTGGGGGAGCCCCGTGACCATCTGGTGTCAGGGGCCCCTAGAGGCCCAGGAGTTCCATCTGGATAAAGAGGGAAGCTCAGTCCCCTGGGACAGACAGAAACCCCTGGAGCCCGGGGACAAGGCCAAGTTCTCCATCTCACTGATGACTGAGCAGCACACAGGGCGCTATTGGTGCTACTATCTCAGGGGAATTCGCTGGTCAGAGCTCAGTGACCCCCTGGAGCTGGTGGTGACAGGTGAGAGACTCTCGGGGGCCTCAGGCTCTGCCCTCGGGAGGGGGTCTGCTCTCAGGGGGTGTCCCTCTCACAGCCCAGCCCTGGGCGGGGGGTGGAGGGGAGTCCTAGGGATCCAGCTGCCTCCTTCTCTCCTAGGACCTTACAACAAACCCAGCCTCTCAGCCCTGCCGAGCCCTGTGGTGACCTCGGGAGGGAACGTGACCCTGCAGTGTGGCTCCCGTCAGGGATTTAACAGGTTCCTTCTGACCAAGGAAGGAGAAAATGAGTCCTCTCAGACTCTGGATGGACAGCGGAGCCCGAACGGGCAGACCCAGGCCCTGTTCCCCGTGGGCCCCGTGAGCCCCGGACACGGGTGGACGTTCAGATGCTACGGCCTTAACAGGGACACCCCCTGGGTGTGGTCAGCCCCCAGCGACCCCCTGAAGTTCCTGGTCTCAGGTGAGGAAGTCCCGACCTGACCCCACATTTGTGCAGACAAGACAACGTCCTGGGGTCTCTGCTCCCAGGGGAGCCCCGTGAGGAGGAGAGAGAGCGTGGTGGTCACAGGACAGACACACAGACAGAGAAGGCGAGGCCTGGGGCTGGGCCGGGAAGGGTGTCCACGGGGGACGCGGTCCCAACAACCTGGCATCTGTCTCTCCCCAGGGCTGTCTGGGAAGCCGTCCCTCCTGACCCCGCAGGGCCCTGTCGTCACCTCTGGACAGAACCTGACCCTTCAGTGTCGCTCTGACATGGACTACGCCAGATTCGCTCTGTCCAAGGAGGGGGGACAGGACCTCCCCCAGCGACCTGCCCGGAGGGCCCAGGGGGGGCTCTCTCAGGCCGACTTCCCCCTGGGCCCGGTGGGCACCGTCCATGGGGGCCGGTACAGATGCTACGGTGGACACGGCCTCTCCTCCGAGTGGTCGGCCCCCAGTGACCCCCTGGAGCTCCTGGTGGCAGGTGAGGGGCCAGCGGGTCAGTCGGGGGCCAGACTCTGCACAGGCCCCACCGGGGAGCCCCAGGGGTGATGCTGGGACCAGGGGGAGGGGTCCCAGGGAGGGGACAGAGAGATGGGGTGGGGGAGGGGGAGACTCGGAGAAACAGACGGCGCTGAGGGTCCAGAGAGGCAGCGGAGTCCCGCTCAGAACCAGGGCCGGGCCCGCACCCCCTTCCTCTCTGCAGGATGGCTCAGAGACAGACCCTCCCTCTCAGCACGGCCGGGCCCCTCGGTGGCCCCGGGGGAGAACGTGACCCTGCTGTGTCAGTCAGGAGACGGGACGGACACCTTCCTTCTGTCCCAGGAGGGAGCAGCCCATCACCCCCTGCGTCTGCGCGCCCAGGATCAAGGCGGGCGGTTCCAGGCCGAGTTCTCCTTGAGTCCTGTGAGCTCGGCCCACGGGGGCACCTACAGGTGCTACCGCGCACTCAGCACAGAGCCCCACCTGCTGTCACGGCCCAGCGAGCCCCTGGCGCTCCTGGTCTCAGGTGAGGCCCGTCTGTCCGTCTGACTCAGCAGCTCGGGGCTCTGTGCCCTGGGAGGCCCCGGAGGTCCTGGAGGAGGGGGTGCTGAGGGAGGGGTCCCCTGAGGGAGGGGCCTCGGAGCTCACACCCCACCCCTTCCTCACGCACTGGGGTCCGGGACGGTCTCGGGGAGGCCACAGGCCCGTGCAGGGCAGAGGGCAGTGAGGTGGGGTCCCCGGGTCAGCCCAGCCCACCCCTTCCTGGGCTCATTCCCAGGACCCATGGGCCCAGCCCCCACCCTCGGGCCCCAATTCAACAACTGGGGAGTCACAGGGCTCAGTGCTCAAGGGAGACAGCCCACCCCAGGGCGCTTTGAGATTGTCTGGGGGCACAAGGCCCCTCAGATCGTCATGGGCCGGAGGGGAGTCGGGCAGAGATGCCGCGGGAGCCACAGGCTGGAGGGGCCTGAGGCTGCGGGATGGGGGTCAGTCTGGGGAGGAGCAGGCCCGCCCCCACCCCATCCTGCCCCCGGGAGGCTCCCCGAGGAGGACACGGCCCACCCACAGCCTCCCTTCAGGACCCTCGGGCCCCCGACACCCTCCCCCATCACCGCGGTCAGACCCAGAGTGAGGACGGGGACAGCGTCCCCGTCAGGGGCTGGGCTCGGGGCCGCGTCCTCTCCCGAGAGGCAGGTGCTTGTGCCGGCGCTGACCTGTGCGCCCTCACCCCAGACTACACGGTGCAGAATCTCATCCGGATGGGCTTCGCGGCCTCAGTCCTGCTGCTCCTCGGGGTCCTGCTCTGCCAGGCTCGGCACGACCGTGGAGGAGCCCGAGACGCGGCCCGGAACTGAGCACAGGGCCCCTCGACACCTTCCAGAGCACCCCAGCCCCCGACACGAGCGTCCAGCCCGGGAGATTCAGAAAGAGCCTCTGACCCCGGGGGGGAAGACGCTCCGCGGAGGCAGGAGGAGGCCCAGGCGTCCCGGGGAGGGGGACCTGGGGGCTCGGCCTCCACTCACGGGGCTTCCCCCCTCCCTCCCGGGGAGGACGCCCCAACTCCCGGCTCCTCCCACTCCCGGCCGGAGGTGCATCCCAGTGGCAGGGGCGGGTCCTCACCCTGCAGGCCCTCAGGCTCTGTCCGCTATCCTGGACGATGTGAGCCTCATTGTTCATGCCCGCCGTCTCTGGTGTGCGCAATGACCTCCATCCCTTCTCAGAAACAGAACGTCGTTTAAGTAACTGAATAAATGGGTGTAAGCGGGGCCCCGTTTGGAACAGATGGATCCAGATTCTTCCCTGAACCCCCTGGGCCCCTGACACCCTCCTCTCCTCATCAGATGACACCCGTGTAGTTTCTCCAGAAACACTGTCAGTGCGATGGGATCCCTGGCGCTAGAAGTGACAGTCAGGGCTACGCTGGTAAATGAGCTCAGGAATATATCGTTTTGTAAAGAGTGCTGATATGGGGTTTCCCTGGTGGTGAAGAATCTGGCAGCCAACGCAGGAGACGCAGGTTCAATCCGTGATCCTGGGGGATCCCACGTGCCAAGGGGCAACTGGGTCCGTGAGCCGCAGTGACTGAGGCTGGCACGTCCTGGAGCCCGCGCGCAGCCAGAGAGGCCAGTGTTGCAGATGCCCAGATGCCTCAGCGAGGGAGCAGCCCCGCTCATCACAACCAGACACACCCCTGTGCACACAGACCCAGCACAGAAACAATCATCAGGCAATAAATTCTTAAAGAGCCCAGGCGTGTGAACTGTGTGTCTGCTTTGGTGCAAACGCTCTCCGTGGCCAACCTCCAGGAGCCCGGGTGAATGGGCTAAATGCCGGGTGGGAAGGAAGGAGCAGGCTGGCTTTCCCAGAGGAGCGAGTCTGGTCCACCCACCCCCACCGATGGCCCCACATGCACAGATGTGTCCTTTGCAGTACACGTCACATAGGATGGTCTCCACCTCAGTTTCATGCCCCAGGTTCCCTGAGATGAGATGCCCACCTCCTAGTTCATCTGTGAGAGAGGGGAGGAGAAAACGATGGAGGAGACAAGGCTGACTCTGACGAATCCCGCATATCACGGGCAGGTGTACTCATCACCCTGCTCAACCTAGAGAGTCGGCAGCAATTCTCAGTGAAAAGCAGAGACACAGCGCTGGTCCACACTTGCATAACCTAGAGGAAGATGCGTGCACAGCCACGAGGGTGCAAGCAGAATGTGGACACGTGGGTTGTTCCCAGTAGAAAAGATTGCAGAAATCACTTTCACCAAAATGAATGGTTTGGTGTATATATCTGCAACAGAATTTTAAACAAAAAATTCAAAAAGGTGGACTGCTAGAGTAACACAGGTCAGTTTTCAAGCATAATGGTGAATAACTGAAATAAAACTGTAGGAGTCCATCCCATCACATCAAATTCAAAAGGCAACAACATGGAACTCAAATAAATAAAATAAGAAATGAAACAGGAGGAACAACAGCTGCTACCAGGTTGCCCTGGTGGCTTGGTGGGTACGAATCCAGCCGCCAATGCAGGGGACGTGGGTTCCACCCGGGCTGGGAAAAGATCCCACACAGGCCGCAAATGCTGAGCTCGCGGGCCCAGAGCCCAGCCCTGCGACAAGACACACCATCAAAACGAGGAGCCCAGGCACCGCAGCGAAGAGAAAAGCTGCGCTGAGCTCAGCACGACGTGGGAAAAGCCCCTGGGCCGCAGGAAGACCCAGCACTGTCCTCTTTCGCTCAGGCGTGTCCAACTCTCTGCGGCCCCATGGACTGTAGGCTGCCAGGCTCCTATGTCCGATTCTCCAGGCGAGAATACTGCAGTGGGTTCCCATGCCATCCTCCAGGGGATCTTCCCCAACCAGGGATCGAACCCAGGTTTCTCACATTGCAGCAGATTCTTGACCATCTGAGCCACCAAGGAAGTCCTGCACAGCCAAAACTAATTAATAATTAAGTTTTAAAAATTGATACCTCAGAAATACAAAAGTTTATGAGAGAGTACTACGAACCACTGTGTGTTGACCAATCTGACAGCAAACCTAGAAGAGATGCAGGCGTCTCTAGAGACACAAGCCTGCCAGAACTGAGTCAAGAAGACGTAGACAGCCTGAACAGAGCGGCCACGGGAAGTGACACAGAATCTGTAACATACCAATAAAAACTCCGTGCAAACCAAAGGCCAGAGCTGGGTGGCTGCATGGAGGAGTTCCACCAAACTGACAAAGAGGAGCTTATACTGGCCCTCTTCAAACTCTTCCAGGAGACTGAAGGGGAGGAAACACTCCCAAAGTCATTCTATGAAGCCACCGTCACCCTGATACCTACACCAGACAAAGACACAACCAAAAAAGAAAGGTTACAGAACAAAGCTGTTTATGAAAATACATGTAAAACGCACAACAACATATTAGCTAACCAAATTCAACAACACACAGAAAGAATCACACACCATGATCAACTTGGATTCATACCAGGGTCACAAGGATAATTCAACATATGCAAATCGATCAATGTGAATCAACACATCAACAAGAGAAAAGACAAAACAACATGCTCGTCCTAAAAGGTTCAGGGAAAGCATTGATAAAATTCAACATCCATTCTTCATAAAAACTCACAAAGTGAGTACAGAGGGAAGACATCTCAATGTAATAAAAGCTATTTATGACAAGCACAGTCATCACAGTACTCAAAGAAAAAAGCTAAAAGCCTTTCTAAACCTCTGGGACAAGACAAGGACGCCCACTCTCATCATTTGTGTTCAACATACTACGGGAAGTCCAGTCACAGCAATCAGACAAGAAGAAACAAGGATGCAACTTGGCGGCAGGAAAGAGGCAAAACCGCCCCGTATGCAGAGGACATGACACTCCATTTACAAAGCACTAAAGAGCGCAGGCACAAGCTGTCAGAACTGAGGGAGGGAGCACGCCAGTCTGCGGAGTGGGGCAGGCGGTGTGGTCTGGGTCTGCAGTCTCTGCGTGTGTGTGTGTGT